AGGATTATATCAATTACTTGTGTGGAATGAACTACACGAGCAAACAGATTAAGATCATCACCAAAAGGTCGAATTTCAGCTGTGATCAAGCCAGTCTTGACCTTAATTATCCATCTTTTATTGTTATCCTCAACGACACCAACACTATGAGTTACACCTTTAACCGGGTATTAACAAATGTTGTAGATAGTTCCTCTACTTATCGTGCAGTGGTGAAGGTTCCGTCAGGGATGGAAGTGGTTGTGCAGCCCCTGGTGGTATCCTTTGCTGGAAAGTACAGCAAAGCCGAGTTCAGTATAACGATAAAAGTGACTGTTGAAGATGCTAATCCACAGAGTGATTCCCTAGTGAATTATGGGTATTTAAGCTGGAATGATGTTAACGGGACTCGTATGGTGAGAAGTCCTATTGTTGCTGCCTATGCACCTTAAGTAAGTGGTACATATTGCTGATTGAACGTTTGTATGGGTATTTCTGAAATAATGTTAAGGACACTCATGTCCACATAATTGTTTATTTAAGAGGTATATATAATCAATTATTGTTCCAAGACCTATTAGCCATGTGTCAAATTGCTATTTGTGGGTATTTTATTCTAGTGTTGTGGAATTTTGAGTGGAAGACAACCATTTATCCTCCACACCTACTAGCCATATTGAGAGAAACTTCTCTTGTTTTGGTTGGAAAGCTCAGTTGTTAGAATATGTTATGTATGTGTGTGTGTGTGTGTGTGTGTGTATGTATGTAGAAATTCGTTTCGTGGTTATGAAGAAACATGCATTATATATATGTATGTATGTATACATGAGTTCAGAAATTCTTGTGGTTATGAAGAACCATACTTCAACCAAGGATTTTGTTTTCTATGCTACTATATGTGTATGCATGGCTGTTGATTAAGACATCTGTCCCGGATTAGAAGAATTATTCATCATTATCGATCACACACCATGTCAATTGGTCCCAACATTATCTCAGCATCACCATCTTCATCATTAAATTATTGGACATTTACTTAGTAAATGTATCACTAGCGGCTGGGAAGAAATGGTAATTAACGGGAAGTGGGAGGAGTGTTGAGATAAAATTTAGAATTTGTATTTGTAATTATTTTGCATAAAGTGATTGTTTTTATATTCGAATTTATTCTTTCATGCTTGTCAATTTAATTTATTACCGTTGTCCCAAGATAATATGATAATGTAATGGGTTCCATAAATTACAATTTTTTTTACTTATGATACTTCATTTAATGAGGCTTCAAATAGGTCTTATGGTGGTGCTTAATCGGACAAGGTTTTTGAGGTGCATCCCATGAAACTGTTTTTTATAAGTTCATTGATATCGTATTTTTATAAAGCAAATCGACTTTGATTCTTGCATAATTTACATCACTTCTGCTTCTATTGTAACAAAAGGTCTATTTTTTACGAGGAAAAGGCCCGTATTAGTAGTTTTTTTTTTGGTAAATCAATTCATTAAAAGGAAAAGGCCCGTATCCTGAATGTTTTTTTTTTTTATTTTTTTTATTTTTTTTTTATAAATTTTTTTCAAGATAATACAATTACAACATGAGGATGATCTCCAATACAAAGCAAAAAGTGAACAAGCTCATTTTCCACCAAAACTAGATTATCCTCCGTAGGCTAAGAAAATCTAGCAACTGAAAACAACACAGAGCACTACATAACTAAATTCCAAAAAAGCATACTCCATGAAACTTCATGCCAACTAGAACCACCTCATCAGGTAACTCTAAAGATTCACAATCTTCAAGCCTTCATATGGGATTTCAAAAACTAAAAACAACTTCTATCAAATTTGATCTGTCAACACATATGTAATGACCCTAAGCTGATCCCATTTAAAAAGAAAAAGATTCAACATGACCTCCCCTTACCACAACCTGCTCAAATAAAAAAAAGATGTAATGGTCTTTCAAGACCTATCCAACCTGTCCCAACACACAATATAAATAATATATCCCAGCATCCCATTCATCAGTTCATTATGCCTCAACATGATTCATCTAATGGTGGAACATCCATATACCATTTAATCCAAATTATCATAATTAAAGTCCATGAATATAACTATAATAACAAGAGTTCACAAATCTCTATACTAAATATGACAAAATAAGGTTTTACAAAAATATGGGACTTAGATACAAAAATAGCAAAATAATCTTCTAATCCAAATTAAGCTTGTGGTGGTACGTCATCCGTCACTTCTTTCCCGTTTCCTGAAAAATGTTAAATAATAGGGTGAGCAAAATTGCTCAGTAGGTGGTGCCTAAAACACACCTCTTATGGCCCCGTGAATTCACACCATGAATAGGAATAAAGAAATTGGGATCATACCATATCGAGAAAAAATATAACCACCATGCCACATCATTAATCCGATACCACAAATGAATATGCCATGCAATGATATGCTATGTGATGCAATGCCACTCCCCATGTTCCAAAACCATTTCCATTATCATTTTCAAACCATTAGTGAACCCGTCCGATTGTAACTCCATGGCGGCACGAAAGGAGGATCGGTCACTATCCTTGACCCATGGCAACTCCATGGCGTCATTTGGGGCCCAGGTAACTCAATCACATTAAGACGATTTTCCTAGTCTCCTCTAGGTCTCAATAACGCCACGGTCCCTAGGCAACTCCTAGGCGGCCGGGTTTTTCACAAAATCTTTTTCTCAAAATCTTTTTCCCAAAAACCCATTCTTATCCACTTCAAATCACTTTACCCTTTCTTATGCCCCATGACATGCATGTATGTCTCATACCTACATTATTATAGAAAAAAGGAAATTTTCATATAACACAACTAGTCATCCTTTGCTAAAATTCAAAGAAAATCATACAAGAATTCATACATCATTTCTAACACAATTTACAACTTTATAGACATAATAAAGCAACATTTAAACATGATTTTCATACAAATCAACATGTAAATATAAAATCATGAACTTTACAAAAAAACAATCATGCTAGGGCAATTACCATCAATTAGACAAATTAATAATAATTACTAGAAATTAACCTTACACATAAAAAAAATCATGCTAGGGTAATTACCATCAATTAGACAAATTAATAACAATTGCTAGAAATTAACTCACAAAGGAACAAGAAAATGTGAGTTAGAGACCCCTACCTTAATTATATGCAAAATCCCTAATTTCTTCACCTTAAACCTTAGAATTTCGAATCTCCTATAGTGCACCAATCAAGGAATTGCTCCTATCAACGTGTTGATCTCGTCGTGGGCTTCGAATAGCTGCAAACGGCTCTTAAAAAGATTAAGAGACGAGGGATTAATCAAGCTTAATTTGAGTAGAAGAAAAAAGAAAAAGAAAAGAGAAGCAGCGAGATAGAGATGGGAGAGAGAGAGCAGATGGAAAAACTAAGACCAAATGTGGTCTTACAACCACTTAAAAGGGGCGTGGGTCCCACCCTTTTATTTTTTTTAAATTTTTTTTTTTTTTTTTGTCTTAAATTTTTACCACATACAAAAATATATATAGATACCATAATTACATGTATATAAACACAAGACATTACATTCTCCCCAACTTTAAAAGATTTCTTCCTCGAAATCAAGACATACTTGAGGAAAAAAACAGTGCTGGGTACTTGGAGCAAATCTTCTGTTCGAGCTCCCAAGTAGCCTTTTCGACTCTATGGTGTCTCCAAAGAACTTTCACCATTGGTATCGTCTTGTTCCTCAACACCTTCTGCTGTGTGTTAAGAATCTGAACTGGTCCTTCCTCGTAAGAAACATCCTCATCAATGTCCACATCAACCCAACTCAAAATGTGCAATGAATCTGGCTCGTACTTCCGTAGCATCGATACATGAAAGACATTGTGGACTTTGTCCATCTGTGGTGGCAAAACAAGTATGTAGGCAACCTCTCCTACACGGTCCAAAATCTCAAATGGTCTAATGAATCGTGGTGACAACTTGTCACTCTTCCTGAATCTCATCAATCCCTTCTGTAGAGAAACCCGTAGAAAAATATGGTCTCCCACTTCAAAAGATAGAGGTCGTCTCCGCCTATCTGCATAGCTCTTCTATCGACTCTGTGCTGTAAGTAGCCTTTGTCTGATCAGCTTAATCTTCTCAGTAGTCTCAAGTACAATGTCGGGTCCTAAGGCGGCTATCTCGCCCACCTCAGTCCAATAAACAGGAGACCTATAAGGACTACCATACAACGTCTCAAATGGAGCCATCTGGATACTCGCCTGATAACTGTTTTTGTAGGCAAACTCAATGAGTGGAAGGTGATCCTCCCAATTGCCTCCCAAATCAAGTACACATGCCCGAAGCATATCCTCCAAAATCTGGATGGTACGCTCTGACTAGCCGTCTGTTTGTGGATAGAATGTCGTACTAAGGTGCAACACTGAGCCAAACGTTGCTTGAAGTCCTTCCCAGAACTTCAAAATGAACTTGGTATCCCTATCTGAAACAATGGTTACTGGAACTCCATGCAACCTTACAATCTCCTTCACATAAAGTACACCAATCTTCTCTGCATCATCTGTTGCCTTAATAGGCAAAAAGTGAGCCATCTTGGTCAATCTGTCAATGATGACCCATACGGCTTCATTGCCCCTCCGTGACCTTGGAAGACCTGTCACAAAATCCATAGCAATATGTTCCCATTTCCATTGCGCTACAGGCAATGGTTGCAACAAACCAGCTGGTCTCTAATGCTCGGCCTTCACCTGCTAACAGGTAAGGCACTTAGCCACAAACTGAGCAACATCTTTCTTCATCCCGTTCCACCAATACTGACGTCTCAAATTGTGATACATCTTGGTACCACCTGGATGAACTGCAAAGCAAGAAGTGTGAAATTCCCGTAAGACATTCTCACGATAAACCGTGGGAACCACCAACAAACCTTTGAACAGTAGACCGCCATCTGCATGCAAGGCCCAATCTTTCACTATCTCACCACTAGAGATCAAAGCGTGAATGGCATATAAATCCGGGTCCTATCTATGTGACTCAATTACTTGTACAACAAGAGTAGGCTGAGCCACAAGACTAACCAAGAATGCTGGCTCGCTGTCAACATCGTCATCAAAACAATACAATCCCATCTCTGCCAAATCTTTAAGCATCTTCCACTGCTGCTGGGAATCCAGTTGAAGGTGCCAATTACTTTGGTTATGCAGAAGGAACAGCAATTGGGGTTGCACCAAAAGCCCGGCTTGCCATGTACAAGGTTCTATTCCTCACCGACACCATCAAGTCTGCTGCCACTGACACGTTAGCCGGCATGGACCAAGCCATAGCTGATGGAGTAGATCTCATGTCATTGTCATTGGGATTCAGAGAGACGCCTTTTGATGAAAACCCTATTGCAGTGGGAGCTTTTGCAGCCATGGAGAAAGGGATTTTTGTGTCTTGTGCAGCTGGGAATGCTGGTCCAAATGGTTTCACCATAGACAATGGAGCTCCTTGGATCACAACTGTTGGTGCTGGGACAATCGATCGCGATTATGCAGCTAATGTTACATTTGATGATGAGGCCTTCACTGTTGGAGGAAAATCTGTCTACCCATTAGACTTGTCAGTGTCTAGGGTTCCAATATACTTCGGCCAAGGGAATAGAAGCAAAGAAATTTGCGGCAATTATTCTCTTGACCCAAAAGATGTTGCAGGGAAGTTTGTTTTCTGTGACTTCATTGATGAAGATTCAGGAGTCAATACGTTTGAAATAGAAAGGACAGGAGCTGCTGGAGCAATCTTTAGTACAGACTTCCAAAGATTTCTTAAGCCAAGTGATTTCAATTTTCCATTTGTGGCAGTAACCCCAAATGATGGAGATTTGATCAAAGACTACCTAATCAAAACAGAGAATGCAACCGTTAGCACCAAATTCCAGATAACAGTGTTGGGTACTAAGCCTGCCCCTATCGTGGCGTGGTTCTCATCAAGAGGGCCAGATCGCAAGTCTCCATGGATACTAAAGCCTGATATTTTAGCTCCTGGGGTTGATATTTTAGCTGCATGGGCACCCAATATAGGAATTGCACCAATAGGAGACGACTATTTGCTTAGCGATTTTGCACTCCTCTCTGGCACTTCCATGGCCTCTCCCCATGCAATTGGTGTAGCGGCGCTTCTAAAAACACTCCACAAGGACAGGAGCCCAGCTGCCATACGATCAGCCATGATGACGACTACTTATGTGATTGATAATGCTAATGGCCCGATCATTGACATGACCACTGGAGTTGCTGGGATTCCTCTTGATTTTGGGGCAGGACATGTCAACCCTGAAAAAGCAATGGATCCTGGTCTTGTTTATGATATAGAGGTGCAGGACTATATCAATTACTTGTGTGGATTGGACTACACAAGCAAACAGATTAAGATCATCACCAGAAGGTCGAATTTTAGTTGCGATCAATCCAGTCTTGACCTTAATTACCCATCTTTTATTGTTATCCTCAACAACACTAACACTATGAGTTACACCTTTAATCGGGTCTTAACAAATGTAGTAGATGGTCCCTCCACTTATCATGCAGTGGTGAAGGCTCCGTCAGGAATGGATGTTGTTGTGCAGCCCCCGGTAGTGTCCTTCGCTGGAAAGTACAGTAAAGCTGAGTTCAACATAACGGTAGAGGTCAATGTCGAATATGCTAGTCCACAGAGTGATTCCATAGTGAATTATGGGTATTTAAGTTGGAATGATGTTAATGGGACTCATATGGTGAGAAGTCCTATTGTTGCTTTCTATGCACCTTAAGTAAGAGGTACATAACCATTTTCTCTTTCCAGACATATTAGCCATATTGCAGATTTATTTTTTGTGAGTATTGATATGGAATAATGTTAAGGGCTATCATGTGATGAAAAGTCCTCTTGTTGCTACCTATTCAGCTTATTTAAAAGGTATATAATCATTTATTGTTCAAGACCTATTGGCCATATGCCATAGTGCTCATTTGTGGGTATTTACTCTCCAAAAATTTAATGGGACTCATGTAGTGAGAAATGTGCCCATTATGTAATTTGTAAGGTACCTAACAATTTATGCTTTTCTTAGAGGACCAGGTTAAATTTTTATCTTATATTATTTTATATTTTTATTATTTTCTTGTATTTTTTCATTTTTCGTGCACGGTGTATTTTATGTGTGACGATAAGTGCCACAAAGGTTTCGTAATTTATTTCAGGCATTTTTTTGAGTCACGAACTCTTAAAATTGCATTTAGAGTCATTTTATTCATTTTGGGTTTGTGGGCTCAAGAGGTTCGCGTGTGGATTCGGGTGGAGATTTCGTGTTTGAAATTTTTTTCCAACTTCAGTTTTATTATTAAATTGTGTTTGGGGCACTAAATTTCTTTTATTTTGTGTAGCCTTATTATGTTTGTGCATGTTTGTAAAGAAAAGATTGATTCAATAGATATTTTCACGCTTTTAGTGGTGGGATCCAAACCCACTAACCTTATTTTTTTTTTATTTTTTTTATTTTTTGGAAATATCAAAGCCCACTAACCTTCCCTGCTATATAATAGAGATCGATTCAATGAGTTACAGCTTACGAAGTGGACAACTATATTAAAAACGGAGGTAGTACTTTAGACAAAGTTATCATCTAGCAAGCTTTGGATTTTTTTTTTTTAGTTAAAAGGTAAGCATGCAAGCTTTGGATTTTGCCAAGGCCATAGTAGAAGAATTAAGTTAGAGAGCTCATCAAGGGCTACTCTTAGGTTGTCTTGAATTGCGATTTGGTGGAAGTTCATCTTTAAGCAAATTAGGGCTTTCGACTCCCATTGAGGTAAGGGTGTGTTCAACTAGCATTTTCTCTTGCTCTATAAGTAACTTAGGTGATTTCCTTGAATTAAGCATGCTTGTGTAAGTCAATTTTGTTTAAATTGCATGTAAGTATACTTATATGATGATGCCTAAGCTAAAACTTGAGAAAAAGATGATGAATGATGAATTAAGTACTCTTGAAGTTGAAATTGTACCATAGCACGTATGAATGTAGTAGATGGGGTTGTTCGAATGAAATTTTTAAGGGCCTGTTTGACTGATTTTAAGGGACTGTTTGGTTGATTTTAAGGGGTTGTTTTGCTGAATTATTAAAGAGTTGTTTTGGCTGATTTAAGGGGTTGTTTGGTTGATTTTAAGGGCCTGTTTTGCTAAATTTTTAAAGAGCTGTTTTGGCTGATTTACGGGGCTGTTTGGTTGATTTTAAGGGGCTCTTCTGTTTATTTTTAAAGGACTGTTTTTGTTGATTTTAAGGGGTTGTTTTGTTGATTTTTAAAGGACTCTTTTTCCATATTTTTAAGGTAGTTGCAGCATGTGTAAATAAGGTAAAGGGTCTATTTAAATGAATTTTTATAAGGAGCTGTACTATTCCAATTGTTATGAAATTTTTACCACAAGTTCCTATACCTGTCTAGTACCTCTCAAATAAATTTTGTAAATTTGGTACAGGTAGTTATTTTTATAAAAATCCGAGAATAGCTGTTGTCCAGTTATCACAGTTTGAAAACTGATTTTTGACAAACTTAACGAATTTTATTTTAGGGGTTGGCTTGCTCGAACTGCAACGATTTTTTTTTTGGAACTTCTAGTGTGATTTTATTCCACCTCATAAAATTTTGATAATTTTAAACCATGTAATTATTTTTTAAAAAATATAACATTACCTGTTGTCAGTCTTTTTATTGCCCTTGGAAATCAGATTTTGGATAATTTGTTTCACTAACATCTGGATGCTGAATCGTGGAACAATTTTCCAGTTTTATACTCCCATGTGTCTATTTTCAAAATAAATTTATTTTGTTCAAGTTGGATGTCAAACAAATTTTCTACAAATTTTAGAAGTATTGCCGTCAGATTTTCTTCTAACTAAGGACCACTGTATTTCTTTTGAAAACTGATTTAAATGGGGAACATTTGGCTTTCGTGAGAGGTTAAGCGATGTTTGCTCAGTAAATTATCATATGAATTGGATTGCCTATGGTGATAACCTTACTGTCATTCCTAGTATGAGTATAATGTTGTATATGAGCATTTTAAGTTCACTTGTTATATATGATGTCAAGAGATTGATTTTATGCCAATGAGAAAGCTATCTTAGTTATATTGTATATATATATATATATAATGAGGCATGTGGTTTTATAAATCTTTGAAAGAATTGATGGTTATTGATCTAACTGGTGAAGTTAATGTTAATCATCCTATCACATGCATAGTGTGAGTGTGTGGTGGTGTATCTGGATGAAAGTTGATTTGTGTTTGTAAGTTTGTGCAGAAAGGCTTTTCAAAACCCGGCATTGAGAAACGGGCCTCATATTCGAAGGTGTTACCTAGTTAATAGGGGCATGGGGAGTTACCTGTGTGTAATTTAGTGACTCGGGCCCCAAATGGTAGGGGGATGGAGGGAGGTACCCAAAGTCCACCTAGTTAGCATGGTTTCAGTGTGTGTGTGGGAGTGTGTATTACATGTGTGAGTTGTGTGTGGAGTCATGATGCATAAGCATGCATTCTAGTATGTCATTGAATTATGTTTTTCCTTAGAATATTTCTACGTTTAATTTGAACATGATAGTATATACTAACACATGAAATTTTCTTAACTTGTATTATTAAACGTGAAGCCTTATAAATCTAAATTCCTAGCATGAGCTGTTAGCTGTGTTAGTGTGTTTCAATAAATGTACGTTGTTATTTGAAAACTTGTTGAAATATGTATCTATAAGGTTACGGTAATTTGGAGCATGATTACTTTGTACAGTGTGTATTACTTTTTTATGTATTTATTTGAGCATGACTTATATGGCATTAGGAGGTGTTAGTTGGCAACTATCTACTTAGCAATGTAACGTCACCCCGTTGAAATTAACATTATAGGAAAGGAACTTGCTATTGAAGATATGTCTCAATCTCAGTCTCGAAGTATCTTATCGAAGTTTATTTGGAAGTATATTGGTGTTGCTAGCATGTTGATGTGGTAGTTTTGTTAAACTTGATTACCATGTAGGCAATGAGATTTATGATGTGCGATGTTTCATAATTTTTTTATTTTCCGGATTATTTTATTTGTGTACCTCGTTTTGCATGTCATGTATCGGTTAGCTTACCACGAGGGTTTACGAAAGTGAATTGAGACATTTCTTTAACTTTAGAATTCTTATAAATGTATTTTATTCATTTCGTCATTTTTTGAATTTTTGGTCTAGGAGGTCCCGAGCGGGTCCCACGCCCGGAATTGCGTGTCCAGAAAATATTTTTTTGGACTTAATTGCATGTTTTATATATTATTTGATGTATATGTGAGGGTACATTTGGGTTTTTACATGTTGATGGCATATTTGTTGTATATATGCATGATAGGGGCAAATTAGACTTTTTGGGTCAAGGGTGGACCCCACTTTGACAACACATGCGGTGTAGGGGACAAGGGTGCATTTTTTCTGCAGAATCTCCTCTCTCCAGCTGGCCTATTCTTATTCTTCTTCTTCTTCTTCTTCTTCTTCTTCTTCCCTTTTCCTCCATCATTATACACCATTGTAGCTCAAATTAAGCTCAATTTTGAGTACTTTCTTGGAGGATTTTGACCATGGCATAGAAGGAAAAACTTTCCATTTGATGAGAACTTTCATTTGATACCAAAAACAGCCCCTATAGGCCACTTCCAATTTTTGGCCTCCCCTTGGTATTGTGATTTTGTTGAAACTCCAAGAGGAAAGTTTGTTCCTCTTGTCCTCCTCTCTCCATTGGCGTAACTAGCTTGCATTTTGGAAGACATTAGCACTTGTTGCAAATTAGAGTTTGAACTCCAAAGAGGTAGAGTTATCTAACTTGCATAATCCTTTAGTTTTGTAGTCAAAATCATGTTTTTCCCTAATTTTTACGTTCTAATTTAATGTCAATTGTATAAAAGCATTTTAGCGTTTTATGTATGTCATAATCATTGGCAATTGGTGTTGATATGTACGTATGTGGTTATATGTTCCTAAATAATTATACGATGATTCATGCTAATTGATTTTATATGTGAGAATGTGAAGGATAAAATTTGTGATGTATGATTTTGATGATGTATAAAATGTCATGCGTTGTACAATTGCCAATATGAGTATTTAATTGTCAAATTTATGTGAAGTTAGAATTGTTATTATGAATTGATAATGATGACTATTGTAGCATATTATACATTGTAATCATGACATTGATGACATAGCATTGTCATTGAGCATTTTGTATGTTATGAGGAAATGTGGAATGTGAAAGATGAATTTTGAAAAAGTTTTGATGAACGGTTTTTCCTAAACTCGGTAGTTGGGGAGGTACCCATTTGCCAGCGGTGCTAGCTAGTTAATAGGGACACGGGGGTACTCGTGAGTAATTTAGCGACTTCAGGGCCCCAAATGGTAGTTGGGAGGTACCCTTTGCCAGGGACGACTAACAAATTCTCCTTAGGGACGGCGGAGGTACCAAATTCCGGCTAGTTAGCACATTTTTGGTGTGGTGGGTGGATATGCGAAGGTGTATGTGTGGTATGCGTTTACATAAGTCATTTCATGCATTGCATCACTTTAAATAGTTAATGATAGATTACTTGTTATTTGTTGATGATGTGTGATCCAAGCATGATCCCCATTCCCCTACTTTATTCCTTGATGTGTCTAAGCATGTATTTTCGTTTACTTAATTTTAGGAGATATCATTTAGGCAATCTCTATTGAGTCGTTGTGCTTATTCATCTATTTAAAATTTTTTAGG